TGGGGATGCAGCTGGTGTCCTCACCCTGCTCCCCTCAGAGTGGTCACAGCGGGACCTGGCAAGGGCTGAGAACATCAAGTTCTGCCGTCAGTACCTCATTTTCCACGATGGAGCTTCCATTGTCTACTCGGGACCCGCTGGCACCTGCTCTGAGATCAAGGACGAGTAAGTCCCATCCCGCTCCCCACATGGGATCCCTCAGGGTAGCAATAAGTGAGGAGTGATGGCCACTCACCTACTTACCCGCAGGCTGCTGAGCCGTGAGTCCCCCAGTGGGACACTGAAGGCTGTCCTGCGCAAGGTCCCTGGCAAGGAGAAAGAGAAGGACAAGCAGTTCCTGGAGGTGAGGAGGGGTCTAGGGGAGAAGGGATATTCACTGGTGCTCAGGACTGGAACCATGCTGTGTCTTGGACCTGCCCTGGCATCTCTGCCCCCAGGTCTGGGATCAGAACCGAAAGGTGAAGAGCATCGACCTGACAGCACTGGATAAGCATGGCAGCGTCTATGATGATGGTGAGGGACTGGGGGACACCAGGGAATGTGGGGTTCCTGGGAACAGAGTAGCCATTGCTGACCTGCCCCTGCAGACCAGTTTGGGTGCCTTGCCTGGTCTCACTCAGAGACCCACCTGCTCTATGTGGCGGAGAAGAAGCGTCCCAAGGCTGAGTCCTTCTTCCAGTGCAAAGCCCCCGAGCAGGGCACCTCTGAAGAGGACACGGGGCACCCCAAGAAGGAGGATGCACCCATCAAGGTGGAGTGTCCCCACCCTGGGTTAGCTAGGGGCTGGCTGTGTGGCTGTGGAGCTGACCAGCCTGTGCCACAGGGCGAGCAGTTCGTGTACCATGAGGACTGGGGGGAGACGCTGAGCACCCGCAGCGTGCCCGTCCTCTGCGTCCTGGACATCGAGGGCAACAGCATCTCGGTGCTGGAAGGCATCCCAGAGCACCTCTCTCCCGGCCAGGTCAGGATGAGGAGCTGTAGAGAACCGAGAAGGGTGGTTTCAGGAGCCAGCAGCATTTTGAGCTGGTTATCTCCCCTCTCCCCACAGGCTTTCTGGTCGCCTGAGGACACGGGCGTGGTGTTCGTGGGCTGGTGGCACGAGCCCTTCCGCCTGGGGCTGCGGCACTGCACGAACCGCCGGTGAGTCTCTGCAGGGCACCCACAGCTCAATCCTGCTGGTAGAGCTGTCCCCCTACAGAGCATCCGCCCCACAGCCTGGCCCCCTCATCCCGCTGTGACACCCCTCTGTGCTGACAGGTCAGCGCTCTTCTACGTGGACCTGACGGGCGGGAGATGCGGTAAGCAGTGCACGCCCTGATCCTGCCAGTGCTCTGGCTCCCCTGCAGCCCCTCACCATCCCCTCGTGCCCATGCAGAGCCGCTCTCTGAGGACACCAGGGCCGTGTGGTCACCACGACTCAGCCCCGATGGCTGCCGCATTGTCTACCTGGAGAATAATGTCCTGGGCCCCCACCAGCAGTGCAGCCGCCTCCGCATGGTAAGCAGCACCGGGGGGACACTGGGGTGCCCATGCTAGGGTGGGGCTGGCAGGAGGGCCGTGGTGTCCCCTGCTTGGGCTGCAGTGGGGGTAGGCAGGCTGAGACCCTGTTAAACTTGCCCTACGCCATGTCTCCTGCAGTACGACTGGTACACCAAACAAACCACCACGGTGCTGGAGGCTGTGCCACGGCAAGCCTGGGGTGAGTACAGCTCTGGGAATGTTGCGGGGGAGGACTCAGGGGGATGCTGAGTGCCATCACTCTCATCACAGGTGCCTTCCCGGGAATCTACTGTGGTGCACTGCCAGGGATGTGCTGGGCAGCTGACAGTCGCAGGATCCTGCTGGACACAGCCCAACGCAGCCAGCAGGTGAGGGAGTGGTGGGGGACACAGGAGAGTCCTGGCTGGGTCAGGGCTCCACTGGACTCTGCCCTTATGTCCCTAGGATGTGTTCGTGGTGGACACAGCAACAGGCACCACAACTTCGCTGACAGCTGGTGAGTGACAAGCCAATGGGGCCATGCTGGTGCCAGTGGTGGGGAGAGGGTCATACCTGCAGGTCTGACCCCCTCCTCCCCAGATTCCCCCCAGGGAAGCTGGTCTGTCCTCACCATCGACCGAGACCTCTTGGTGGCCAGGTTTTCCACCCCTAGCTGCCCCCCCATGTTGGTAAAGTCATATTCCCAGTGCCCACCAGCCCCTTGGGACAGGCACTGACCCCTCCCCCCAATGCCCACCAGCCCCTTGGCATGGGCACTGACCCCTCTCCCTGCACAGAAAGTGGCAGTCCTGCCCGCCGCCGGCTGTGAGGCACAGACACAGTGGATCTGCCTGCAGGATGCACCCCCCGTGCCTGGCATCAGCTGGGGCATCCGCACCCTGCAGCCCCCACCAGAGCAGGAGCATCCCCAGTACGGTGAGTGCCCAAGGTGGGGTCAGGCTGTGCTCCACCATCCTCACTGCTCCCTGACACCTCCTCCCTGCCTCCACAGGGGGCCTGGACTTTGATGCCATCCTGATGCGCCCAAGTGAGGGTCCCACTGCCCAGAAGCCCCCCTTGGTCGTGATGCCCCATGGTAAGAGCTTGTCCCCACCCAACTGTACCCTAGCCAGGCAGCATCACCGCATCACTCCCCCTTTGCTTTTGCCATTTGCAGGGGGTCCTCACACTGTTTTCACGGCTGGGTGGATGCTGTACCCAGCGGCACTGTGCCGTGTGGGCTTTGCCGTGCTGCTGGGTGAGTGACACCAGGGCGCTGGGTGACACAGCACCCATGGAGGGGCCCACGGGTGTGGGGGCACAAAAGAGGAAAGGCTCTGACACTGCTCCCCACACAGTGAATTACCGTGGCTCACTGGGCTTTGGCCAGGACAGCGTGGCCTCCCTGCCAGGCAACGTGGGCACACAGGACGTACGTGATGTGCAGGTATGGCCTGGCACATGGTCCTGGGGCACCCTGTGCTCCTGCGGATGCCCTGAGTAGGGAAGGTGGGGCTGCCTGTTCAGTGGGTGTTCCCCGTGATGACAGCTCTGCGTAGAGCGGGTGCTGCAGGAGGAGACATTAGATGCCAGCCGGGTGGCACTGGTTGGTGGCTCGCATGGGGGCTTCCTGGCATGCCACCTCATCGGGCAGTTCCCTGACACCTACCACGCCTGCGTGGTCCGCAACCCCGTTGTGAACATCGCCTCCATGGTTACCACCACCGACATCCCAGACTGGTGAGTACTGCTACCCCCAGCTTCCCAGGCTCCTTGCCATCCCAGTCACACACGTGCCCCCAACTCTCTTGCCTGCAGGTGCCTGACAGAGACGGGGCTGCCGTACAAACCTGATGCCCTGCCAGACCCAGCCCAGTTGACAGAGATGCTGCACAAGTCACCCATACGCTATGTCGACCGGGTATGTCACTGTCCCCATCCCTGTCCCCAGCAGCAATGCCAGTGCTGACACTGTGCTGCTCCTGCAGGTCCGTGCACCCGTACTGCTGATGCTGGGGGAGGACGACCGGCGTGTGCCCCCCAAGCAAGGTCTGGAGTATTACCGTGCTCTGAAAGCCCGGGGGGTGCTCACACGGTGAGTGGGCTGCTGAGGGCTTGAGCTGTGGGGTGCAGACACAGCACTAATCCCTATTTCCCCTCCAGGCTGCTCTGGTACCCAGGGAACAACCACGCGCTGGCTGGCGTCGAAGCTGAAGCTGATGGCTTCATGAACATGGCGCTGTGGCTGCTCAAGCACCTGCAGTGCTAAGGATGCTGACCCCTGCTGCTGACCCCCAATAAACGATGTAGTTCAGCACCCCAGTGTCTCTAGTGGTAGTGCTGGTACCGGTGTCATCTCCACTCCCCATGGCCAGGAGCTGGTGGCCACTGGACCTTTCACCTGCCCGGATGTGTGGCTGTGCAGCCAGGGTGTGCTGGGCCATGGGCAGGGTGACCCCTGCCTGGCCATGCAGGGCAGCAGTAGCCGGGGCGCTGCCGCCGGGCCGCTCCCGCCTGCTTTGGCAGGCGTCCCACTGCGGGCGGCAGGCGCCGGCAGCCCAGCCCCGCAGAGAACAGCCCCATGGCCACAGGGACTGAGGAGAGTGCAGAGGTGGGCAAGGGGCTCGGAGGAACTGTGTGGGTGGCACAGCCCTGTATCGGGCCGTGGGCAGGGGCAGGGGATGAGTTTACTCCCGTCCAGCATGCCCCTTCCCCCATCCAGGCGGCCCGCGGCCCCGCTGCCTGCTACCGGGAGCTGAGCCGGTTCCCTGCCATCACGCGTGCCGCCCTCAGGGCCGTGGCTGGGGGCCAGACCTTCCAGCTCTACACCGGTGAGTGGCGGGCTCGGCACCCCCGCGCCTTGGGCCCGCGGGATCCGAGTGAGCGGGTACTGACGGCCCCGTCCCTCAGAGTGCAGCCGCCCCGACCTGGCCCGCCGGCGGCTCCTGCGCTTCGGCCGCCACTACAGCTTGCGGCGCACAGCCGGCCGCCAGGGCCTCGCCGTCAGCCGAACCGCGCTCAGCGCCGAGATCCACGACCAGTACGGCACGGGCGGGCTGCGGAACGGGGCGCTGTGCCTGTGGCACGGCCGGTGCCCGTGGCGCTCCCGGTGCCCACAGAGCATGGCCCGCCGCAGCCTCCGTCCCTGCCGCCCTCAGGCTCCTCAGCCAGGACTCGCCCACGGGGCAGCGCCGCGCCGCGATCAAACGCGCTCTGCAGGGCCACGAGCTGCTGGAGGTAACGCGGCTGTCCCGGTCCCTCACGGGCGTGGCTGCAGTGCCAGTTCAGGGTGCTGGGCACCGAGTACACGGTGTGCCGGTGCTGACGGCCGGCCCCACAGGTGTGGGACAGCGGGGGATGCAGCCACAGCGTGGATCTCACGGCGCTGGGGAAGCATGGGGACGTCTACACGCAGGGTAGGAACCCTTCCCCATGGTCCCCGCCCACAGCAGGGGTGAGGTTGGCATGGCTAGCAGCCCTGGTGGCTACCTGGTGCCCAGCTGTGCCTGTGCCAGGCTGGGCTTTGGTACCTTCCTGCCATGCCAGGGCCCTTTGCCTGCCTGGCCTGGTCACACTCGGAGACACGGCTCCTCTATGTGGCTGAGAAGAGCCGGCACAAACGACAGTCCCTGTGCCCTTGGGACGTGCCAGGCGCAGCCTGGCCGGCAGCAGAGGATGATGAGGAGGTAGGTGCCTCATGAGTGTGTTCAGTGTACCCCCAAGCATGCCACACACACTGTGAACGTGGCGCATGCCCTATGGGCACACCATGCACCCCCTGAACATACTGTGCACCCCATGAGTGTACCATACATCCCATGAGTATGTCATGGACAGAGCTCCATCCCTGGGGCCACCAGCCATGGGCCTGATGGGTCTGTGCCACAGGGCAAGCAGTTTGTGTACCATGAGGACTGGGGGGAGGCCCTGAGCACACGCAGCGTGCCAGTCCTCTGTGTCCTGGATCTGGAGAGCCTCAGCTTGTCAGTGCTGGAGGGAGTCCCAGAGCACCTCTCCCCTGGCCAGGTCAGGATGGGGTGCAGGGAGCGCCCCAGGGGACCCAGCCTGTTGCCATGGGATGAGCCCTGACTGTCACACAGGCCCTGTGGTCCCCAGATGACCGTGGTGTGGTGTTCGTGGGCTGGTGGCACGAGCCCTTCCGCCTGGGGCTGAGTGCCTGCTCCAACAGGAGGTGGGTCCTAGCCAGTAACCAGCAACATGCCAGGATGCCCATTCAGTATCAGCACAGTGGGGATCCAACCTGACCCATTCTTTCCTCCCAGGTCAGGGATTTTCCACTTGGACCTGGCCAGCGGGTGCTGCGGTGAGCACTGGGGCCCTGGGGAGTGCCCTGGGGATCTCTAGGATGCTGACCCCTTGCTACCTCCAGAGTTGCTGTCAGCAGAGAATGTTTCTGTCTGCTCCCCTCGGCTGAGCCCTGATGGCCAGCGCCTGCTGTACCTGGAGGGGGTTGTGGGGGGACCCCACCGGCAGTGTCTGCGCCTGTGCATGGTGAGTTGGTCTCATGGGCACCAGGCACGGTTGTGCCACCTTGTGCTGCCAGCACAGTGCCCAGCCCAGGTGTCACAGCCTCTCGCAGTGCTTGCCTGGGATGGGGGTGTCCCCAAGCTTCCTCAGTTTCCCCTGGCATGGGTCCGTCCCTGAGCACTGGCTCTCCCCAGCTCACCTGGCAGACAAGGCAGACAGTGACGGTGCTCGACGTGGTGCAAGAGCCCACAGAGGGTGAGCAAGGCATGGTGGACAGAGCTGGGTTCTGATGGGGGGCTGGTACCACCCCCTGCCAGTTGCCCATGATCCCTGCTCACTAGCCTAGTGCTCTGCCCCACTTGCAGCGTTTGCTGGGCTCTACGCAGAGGTGCTGCCACCGCAGTGCTGGGCAGCTGACAGCCGGCGAGCCGTGCTGGGCACCCCTCAGCGGAGCCGCACGGTGAGTCCTGGGGATAGCAGGACCAGGGACATGACCCACACACCCCATATTGGCACCACTGCCTGTGCTCTGTGCCCTCACAGGACCTGCTCCTCGTGGATGTGGAGGCATCCACCATCACCAACCTGACAGCAGGTAAATAGCACCAGCCACCCATGGTACTCTAGTGAGCAGCTATGATCACTGACATGTGTTCTGTCCCCAGGGTCACCTGAAGGGTGCTGGGAGCTGCTCACTCTCCAGTGGGACCTGCTGGTGGCCACCTGCTCAGCCCCCCACCACCCCCCCAGTCTGGTGAGCAGTGCCCTGGCACCATGTGGCACAGTGGGATATGGCACAGCAATGTGCAGCCAGGCACAGCACAATGTGGCACACATGCCATGGTATGGTGTGGCACAGCCAGATCCAATATAACACAGCCTTGGCATGGCACAGCCTCAGTGTCATCCATTGCCTGTGCCCAGGTGGTGGCCGTGCTGCCGCCAGCAGGCCAGGAGTTGCCCCTTGGCTGGGTGCTAGTGGAGGACACCCCAACAGTGCCTGGTGTCACCTGGAAGACTCTGACGGTCCAGCCACCCTGCAGTGGGCAGGGCCCCGCTGTACAGGGTGAGCCCCTGAGGGCCCCTGCTGCACCTCAGTGCTGCCTGGGTGCCAGGGACCCTTGGGAGTGGGGGGTGGGCAGGGTACTGGGTTCCAGGGTGGTGGCTGCTGAGTGGGACCCCTTCCCTGGCACAGACACCCAGGCTTTTGAGGCCCTGCTGCTGAGCCCCTCAGATGGCACATCACCGCACCCCCTTGTTGTGTGCCCCCATGGTGAGTGAGGGGACAGTGGGGATGCCCTGGCAGTGCTGGTGGCAGTGCTGGTGATGCCCATGCCCGCCTCAGGTGGTCCCCATGCTGTCTTCGATGCCCGCTGGCGTCCGAGCATGGCTGCGCTGTGCCAGCTGGGCTTCGCCGTGCTCCTAGGTGAGTGCTGGGGAGCTCGGGGACATGTGGCCCTGTGTGTCAGTGGAGACATGGTACTCACGGCCCTGTCTCCTCAGTGAACTACCGTGGCTCCCTGGGCTTCGGCCAGGCCAGCATTAGCTCCCTGCTTTCCTGTATGGGTGAGCAGGATGTGGCAGACACCCAGGTGAGGGGTGCTGGGCTGAGGGTGCTGGGGGGATGCTGCTGGGAGGATATTGATGTTTGGGTGCCAATGGTGGGTGGCCCATGGGTGCAGCTGGCAGTGGAGCAGGCTCTGCAAAGAGAGCCCCTGGACCCACAACGCCTGGCCCTGCTGGCTGGCTCTCACGGAGCCTTCATCGCCCTCCACCTCCTCACGCGTGAGCCCAAGCGTTACCAAGCCTGTGCCCTGCGCAGTCCCGTCTCCAACCTTCTCACACAGCTGGGCACCTCTGACATCCCTGACTGGTGAGTGCCACCCCCCATCCTGTGCCGTGCCACACCATGTTCCTGTGACACCTACCAGTGTCTCTGTGCCACAGGCGCTACATCTCCCTGGGGCTGCCCTACTCCTTTGAGCGGGTGCCACGTGCTGAGGAGGTGGCCACAATGCTATTGCGCTCGCCCATCGCCCAAGCATCCCAGGTAAGGCAGGGTCAGGATGGGTGTGGGGTGCCAGGTGTGGGGTGTCAGACACCCACTGAGGGCAGTGCTGCAGGTGCAGACACCAGTGTTGCTGTGCGTGGGTGCCCGGGACCGGCGCGTCAGCCCCATGCAGGCACTGGAGCTGTACCGGGTGCTGCGGGCCAGGGGTGTGCCAGCACGGTGAGTGGGGTGCAGGTGGGAGCAGGGAGGGAGCTCTGAGGTGCTGGATGAGCATCTTCCCATCCTGTCCCTCCCCACAGGCTGCTGTGGTACCCAGAGGGTGGCCACGCACTGGCTGGTGTGGAGACAGAGGCTGATGTCTTCAAGAACTGTGCCCACTGGCTCCTCCATCACCTGGGGCAGCCCAGGCGGGATGGGACAGGCCAGCACAGCCCCTAATGCCCACAGTGGTCCTGGGCTATGCCAGCCCCAGGGTGACTTCTGGCCCTGAGGACCACACCAGAACCAGAGGCAGATGGAGTGAGTGTAGCCCGGGGCAGGGATGTGGATTGGGATTTCGTGTTAAATAAATGTGAGACCCTGTGCAGTGCAGACCCCTGTGGCCAAAGTTGTGCCTTTATTGTGCAGTGGCAGCTGTGCCAGGCTGAGAATGCCAGCTCAACCCATCTTCATCACCTTGTAGATCCAGTCAACATAGAGGGAAACACGGATGAAGAGGGCAGGCTGGTCAGTGCGGGCACAGACACGGGAGGGGATGATCACCCCCTCCAGCACCCAGCAATCAGCAGTGAGGCAAGCCAGTGGTCCACCATAATCGCCCTGTGGCATGAAGAGAGCGGTGTCACCCTGGTGGCAGCACTTGCCGCCTCCCTGGGGTGGGTGTCCCCAGCGCAGCTCACCTCGCAGGCACCCACGCCGGCACGCAGTGGGGCAGTGCACAGTTCGCTCTCCTTGAGGCGCCCACGCAGCGCCTTTTTGCACTCACTGTGGGCCAGCACTGGCAGATGTGCCACGTTCAGCACGCTGCCATCAGCCGTGCCTGTGGACAGAGAGCACGGGTCAGCAGGCATGGGATGCAGCACTGGGCATGCAGGGATACAAGGGAATGGCATGGGCAGGGGATGCTGTGGGCAGGGAATGGCAGGGACAGGAGGATGTCATGGCAGTAGGATGTCATTGCAGGGAGATGTCGTGGAAGAGGGATGCCTTGCACAGGATGATACCAGGAGCAAGGGATGCTGTAGGCAGGGGGATGGAATGGGCAGAAAAACACCATGGAAGGGAGATGCTGTGAGCAGGACTATGCCAGAGACCTGGGGGTTGCTGCAAGCAGCAGATACTTCAAGCAAGGGATGCTGTGGGCAGGGAGATGCCATGGACATGGGGATGCTGTGGGCAGAGGGGATGGAATGGCATTGGCTGTATTGAATAGGGAATCCCCCAGCAGGGGCTGCCTGTGGCAGGTACCTCTGGTTTCCCCCCAGCCGGCGATCTCACAGACAGTACCCTCAGGCACAACGTAGCGCTCAGGGGGCAGGCAGATCAGGGCCACACGCTTGGTCAGAGCAGCTGGCCTGTGGCAAGAGGGGCAGTGGGATATGGTGCCAGCCTGGCCAGCAGTGGAGCATGGCAGAGGCCATCATACAGTCACCCCAAGACACATGGTCACTCACCTTGCCAGCTTCAGCATCACCAGCTGGGACTCAGAGGGGCCACAGACGATCCGGACGATGGGGATGGTCTGTTGGTCAGGGTCCCCAGGGCCAGGGTCCTTGAAGAGCGTCCCCAGCTGCACCTCATAGCCCGTCAGGTCAGCATCACTGTGGAACAGGGACATGAGGGCACAGGGGGGTCCCACCACCCCACACCCCAGCCCCAACCTTACCAGGAGGAGAAGCACTGGCGTGTGCTGATCACCCACTGCTCCTTCACCAGGGATCCCCCACAGAAGTGCACACCAGCCCTGTGGGGACAGGAGGTGAGCTCTGGGGGGACACTGAATACATGGCAGTGCATGTGGGACACCCACTCACCGGTTGCGGATGCTCACAGTCCAGGGTGAGTTGCCAGGCTGGCCACCAACGATGCGCCCCTTCTGCTGCAACCTCTCGTCCCGCTGGCCACACTGCTCAAATGTCACCGTGTCTATGGGCAGGGTGAGCATCAGTTGGGGCTGTACCACCCACCCCACCCCAGGGTGCCCACCCCAGGACCCACAAGTCCCCACCTGCATTCTCCATGATGGAGGGCACTGTGCTGCCAGCTGCAGAGAGAAAACAGAGTGTGGCACTGGCACAGGATCCAGCCACCCTGAGGGGACCAAAACGACCTTGTTTGTGGTCAGGGTTCCCTCTAGCTCTGCAGGGATGTGGGTAGGGGCTCACAACAGGGCTTGATGGCACAATAGTCAAAGGGGGTACGGGGGTCCATGGTGTAGCACCAGGGGCCATGGCTGTCGTTATCAGGGTTGCGGCAGTAGTTCTCCTCCAGGTGTGCCTCAGGGTGGGTAGCAGGTGAGATCCTGCCAGGAAGCAGTCACCATCACTATCCCCATCCTCATCTCCATCCCCACCACAACCCCATCCCCATCCCTGTACCCACCACCCCGTCTCACACACTCACTGGGGCACGTGGGGTGTCTGGGCAGCCCAGGGCTGGCAGGTGATTCCTTTGCGTGTCTTGCTGACATGGCCGTGGTAGTGCTTGCCGTGGCCGTGGTAGCACTCTGGGGACAGGCAGGGAGGACTGGCACCACTCACAGGGGCACCGGGGTGGGCACCCAGGGACAGGTGCCTGGGGTGGCTCACCTTCGGCATCCTGCTCATCAGGGCAGCGGCGGATATGGAAGCAGAAGGCGATGCGGATAGTGGGGCGGGAAGTGAAGCACCATGGTGCCTCTGATCCATCAGGGTTGCGGCAGTAGTTCTCCTGCAGGTCCCTGGAGGAGGGGCCGCGTGGTTGTCCCCCTCAATCCCACACTCATGGGTGCTGCCCACCACCATCCTCCTGGGGTGTACAGCCATCCCCTTACTTGCATGGGTACTTCTCAGGCACGAAGTGGTGCTTATGGGGCATCTGGGAGTCCCAGCGCTGGCAGGGGATCCCTGACACTGTAACATTCACACGGCCACGGTAGCCTTCACCCTTGCCCCTGAAGCAGCCGCTGGTGACGTTGATAGGCCGTGGCCGTTTTTCTGCTTGTGTGGCCAGAGAGAAGAGCAGAGTAGCAGGGTCAGGGGTGGCACCCAGAACCCCTAGCTGTGCACGATGCTGGTGGGGACTTACTGCAGACGCGGATGCGGCAGTATTCGCGCTCCCGCGCGGGGTCAGTGGTGTAGCACCAGGGCCGCTCGGAGCTGTCAGGGTTGCGGCAGTAGTTGTCATCTAGCCCCTTGTCAGGGTACCTGGGCCAGAGACAGGGAGCAGCAGTTGAGGCGGCACTATCACCCCAGCACCTGGCACTCAACCAGGGCACTGCACTGCTGGGGGCTAGTACTTGTTGGGGTGGTAGGGGTGCTTGTGTGGGTGCTGCAGGTCCCAGCGCTGGCACTCCGTCCCTGACTCGGTGTGGTCCATGGTCCCACGGTAGTCCTCCCCATTGCAGGTCATGCAGACAGCTGCCAACAACTGCATGGCTCAGTGAGGGGGAAACATATAGCACAGGGTGACCCTGGGATGTGGCACTCACCATCCTCACACTTCTTTATGCCGCAGCTCTGGTGCCGGACTTTGGGATCAACGGTGTAACACCATGGGCCCCGCTTGTCCCGGTCAGGGTTTCGGCAGTAATTCTCCTCCAGTCCATTGCGGGGGGATGGCAGAAACCTGCTGGCAGCAGAGTGGGTAGGAGAGCTGCCAGGAATCTTTTGCCCTGTAGTGGGCATAGGCAGGATGATGCGCTACCCCTGTCAGTGCCATTGCCCCCAAGCTGTCCCCATTGCTCCTGTGCTATCCCACACTGCTCCCACCCCATTCCCCATTGCCCCGTGCTGCCCAGGGTAAGTGCCACAGAACAGCCAGGGACACGGGGGCACCTGTGGTCATGTGGTGTCGTGGCTTGCCAATGCTGGCAGCGCAGCCCCTTCTCCGTCGTGGCCCGTGTGCCGCGGTAGCTGGAGCCATCACCCATGATGCAGTCCCGCAGGTAGTCTGAGCAGAGCCAGGTACATCTTCAGAGCCCCAGGGCCAGGTCAGGGCACATGGGCAATGAGGAGTCCTGTGCCAGGTGGCCTGTGCCCAGTCTGCGGGGTCCTCATACCCACCCGCGGCACCAGCTCACCTTTCTTCTGGTACAGATCATAGCGGATATTTTTCTGCAGCTGGATGCGGGGTGAGTGCTGGGTCCAGGGCAGCAGCTGGCACAACTGGCTCTGCTGGTCATAGTGGAAAGCCCTGGGAGGCACAGTGGGAGTCTGGCACAGCACTGTGGGAGGCCAGGGCGTGCGGGACCTGGGTCACACACGTGAGCACCCAGTATCCAAGTGTAGAGTGACCCAGTGTCCCCTGCCCTCCCACCTGCCCCGCGGTGGCACTGTGTCCTGCTCACCGGCAAGCCATGCTGGTGGCACAGCGCTGGCCACACTGCTCCACAGTGCCCTGCTCCGGCAGCGGTGGCGGTGGGTCCATGGACACTGCCAGCAGCTCGGTGGCTCGCAGGCGCTGGAAGTCATTGAGGGGTGAGCGGTGGCCTGGGGAGTGTGGCAGGAGCTCAGTGTGCCCATGGAGGCACAGCATGAGCAACTGGGGCCCTGTAGAGTGTCAGATCCCTGCCCCATGGAGCAGGATACCCCTGTCCCACAGACCATGGGATTAGTGTCCCACGGAGGAGGGGAACTCTGTCCTATGGAGCATGGGTTGCATATAACATGGAGCAGGAGATCCCTGTCCTATGTCCTGATCCATGTGCCGTGGAGCAGAAGGGTCCCCGCCCTACATCACCCGCTGCAGTTCCCTGCTTCCGGCTGCCCCCCTCCGCCGTGGGACAGGGCATGGCCTGCAGGCTCCCGGCCCGGCCGCTGGCCCTGCTTTGGGCCCCGCACTGCCTCGCACCCTCCAGCCCCACGGAGACCCAGCCTGGGGCCCTACCTGAGCCCAGAGCCGCGGCCAGGGCGAGCAGGACCCCTAGCACGGGCTGCATGGCGGCGGCCCCGCGTCCCCGGGCCGCTGGAGCTCCGGGACGGCCCCGAGCAAATATTTGCGGTCGGGCTCGGGGCCAGGCGGGGCCGGGGTCACCCCGCGGCGGGCACGCGTGGGACGGGGCGGGGCCAGGGGGCGGGGGCGTGGCATATGCGGCGGGGGCGGGGTCTGATGGGGCCGGGGTCACCCCGGGGCGGGCACGTGCGGGGCGGGGCGGAGCCTGAGCGGCGGGGCGGGTTCTGGTGGGGCCGAGGTCACCCCTCGGCGGACACGCGAGGGGCGTGGGTGGGGCCTGCGCACAGGGGACGGGTCTGGAGCAGCGGGGACGGGTCCTGCGCCAGTGAGGCGGGGCCTGGGGGCGGGGAAGAGGCGGGGGCGTGCGGCGGGCCCCAGGGGAGTGGGCGGGGCTCTGGGGCGGAGTTCTGGGCCGGGGGCGTGGCCGCATTGGGCGGCTTGGCGGGGCGGGGCGGAGGAGGGCGTGGCCAGCGCCGTCGGCGGGCGCCGATTGGCCGCAGTGCGCTCGTGCCGCTGGTTGCCAGGCGCCGCGCGCGCGCGCAAGTCCCGCCCCCGGGTACGTGCCCGCGCGGGGTCGCGCTCGCGCCGCGCCGCCCGCTCGGTGCGTCGGGGCCGCGGAGCCGGCGGGAGCGGGGCCGGGCCCGGGCCCGGCGTGCACGGTGAGAGCGGGGACGGGGGAACCGCGACCGGCCGGAGCGCGGCTGCGGTGGCACCTGCCGGGCAGCCCTGTCCTTGGCGGTGGGGAGCGGGGCTGGCGGCGCGGCCTGGGCAGAGGCGCGGCGGGCCCGGGCCTGGCAGAGAGCGGGCGGCGGGGTGGCTTTCCCGGCGCGGCGCCGCCTCAGCTCGGCGCGCCCTCCGCGGCCTGTGGGGCCGGCCCGGTGCCGCCTTCCCTCCGGGCCCCGCTCCCTCCGCGCCGCTTTCCCGCCGCCGCCCTCGGCCCTGGGTGGGCGCCGCGCCCGAGAGTGCTCGGCGGGGCCGGGCGGGAGGCGGAGCGGGCCCGGGGCTTCAAGCGGCTGGGCCGGCCCGGGCTGTACCGGGTGAACCTCGGGGCTTTGCTGGGAGCGGCCCAAGTGCTGTCGGCGGCGGCAGCCGGCTCTGGTTGTGACAAAACCCGTGTGGGCGTCCCAGGCTCTCCCCGCTCACCGGGACCGGCCCGGCGCCGTGGGAGCGCAGGTGGGTGTCCAGGTAGCTGTCGCAGTGTTCCTCAGGGACAGGTGGCTGTCCCAGGCAGGGTGGCCGGGCAGCCCTTCGGCTCTGCCCCTGTGGAGCTCCGTGGGCCCCAACACTTCCCGGGGCTGACCTTGGCTCGGGGCACGGGGAGCGTGACTAACAGCAGAGGTTGTTCCAGGAGGGACAGACCTACAGCCAGGCTTTATCTTCAGTCCCCAGTGCAGGTGACTAAAGGCAAGTTAGTGGTTCTAACCGCCCAAAAAGGTGTAAATGCCGACTATTCCTTGTGGCCTCCCTGGTTTCTTGGAAGCAACAGGCTGCAAAGTGTCTCACCCAAGTTTCTAATCCCCATCAAGTCAACAGGTCTGGGTTTACTGAGTTTTGCCACAGGTTTGAGATTGGCAAATGTGTGTTTTTGGAGTGTAACTGTTGCTCAGGGGGAAGGTGTGGGCAGGGCGATGTGGGACCTGGCTGCAGAGTTTGCAGTCACTCCCTGAGGTCGTATATCTCCCTTGGTCCTGAAGCTTTAGGCTCTTATGGTTGGGAAAATGCCACTGATGTTCACCTGTCCAAAATGAGATTTAAATCTTTTTGTATTAAAAAAAGCAAGAATTTGCCTATTTTGTCTTAGTCCTTCTAGGCAGGAGCTTCTTTCTACCACCCATTTCTGTTACATGGAGAACTACTAATGCCTCTTGCCTTGCATGTACTATCCTTAACAAAACTTGCTATTTAACTTTCCCAATGGAATCCTGTCTCGTCCCAACTTTAGCTTTACAGATTCCCTTCCTCACTTTAGGAGTTTCTAATTCTTAGGTTTCTTCACACAGTCGCTGCTGCTATACTGAGTATCCTAAACCACTTATTCATTCTTCCCGATGCTTGTCATTGCACTCTTCTATCCTAAATATAGGGTAGTATGCCAACAGAAGGAGCTTGAGAGCAAGCTGAAGTGCTGGGAACACCACTGTTTACTCAGAGGAGTAATCAGCAAAGCCTGGCTGATTTCAGGTCACACGGACTCCTTGCTGTAGGAGTTCAGGCTCACTTCTTTGGGAGCTGGCACAAGTGCTCCAATAACTGGGAGATGTTGCTGACAGCACCTGCTGGCTTTAGACATACTCATTTCTTTAAGCATTGTGTAAATAGAATAGTAAATTGTGTTTAATTGTTGGCATCAGGACCTGGGGAATCAGTAAGAATTACGGAGTTGATAGCAGTAAAGGCGTTCTTCTCTCACTCTGTACCAGTAAGTTTTGTATGTATGGGATTTGTTGACCCCAAGCACTTGTCTGCTTTTAGAAATGCTGGTACTCATTGGTAACTTATCCACTCTGTTCTCCTCGTCTCCCAGTGCCTGGAGTGCTGAGCTCAGCTGCTCTCAGAAGCGAAGGAGGATGTGTGACAGGTAGAGTGGGACCCTTTGCCAGCTTCAGCTGCGGAGCTCCTGGTCAGAACTGGCCCAATGCTCTGGACGTGGTTTGTCTTTCACGGGCAGCTGCTCTGGAGGAATTCTGGCCTCCCTCTCTTGGGCAGATCCATGCCCTGACAGCGAGGGGTAGTGTCAGAGGGAGCCCTGCTGCATCCTGGCTTGTGTAAGTGTGCCAGCAGACAGGCCTGAGAGGTGCTTTGGAGCTCTGCACTAAACACCAGTGGTCCTGCTGGGGACTGAGGGAGAAGAGAACTGTGTGGTTGCAGCAGCTAGATCCTGGGGAAGTTTTCATGCTTTAGTGTCTGTAGCACAGGTGTGAGATGCAGTGTGTTGTCAGCCTAGCAGAGAAGGTGTGATGGTTCTGCCCTGGCAGGAGTGGTGTTGCTCATCAGTAGGAATGGTGTCTCCTTGCCTTTCTGTGTTCCTTGGAGAGCTAATGAGACAAATTGGCCTGGGGAGATAGCAGGGTGCTGTGCCAGCCTGGGGAGGAACTCCAGCTGATGGAATAAAGGTCTGCCTCATTCTGTGGGTAACAACTATCTGAAAAGTTTTGTGGGGATGATTTTGGGTGGTTTGTGCCTTTACTCCTGTTAGCTGAGGAATAGTGCTGAGGAGTTAAGTCTAGCGATGATTAATTTGAGTGAGAAAAATGCAAACGCTGAATTCTTCTTAGGCAAACAGGGGTCATGTAAATAAATGCCTCTGGCATTCTTTGTGGTGCTTGCAGACTGTCTACCAATTACTTCTGGTCTCTTGCTGAATCAGTGGGAGGCTGTTGCTCCTTGAGCTCTGAGTACTTTGGCGGTGATTTGGGTGAAATACAAATAAACACAGTTGGATTGACCTAGTGTATCTGAGCTCTTGGTATGCTGAAAATGTTTGTTCTTAGGATGTTTGTGCAGTCTGTAGAGCTCTGTACCTTAAACCCAGTTTGCAAAGGACTGTGACTGTGTTTAAGCTGTGAAAAATAAAATATCAACCTGAAGAACCTGTGCTTTTAGGGCTTGTTCTGTGAGATTGAATTTGAGCTAACTACTAAGGTGCTGCTGGATGGAAAGTTAATGTATTAGCCTGTGTGAACACTCTAGGTAGGTGCACATCCTAGTCTCATGCCTTATTCTGTCTGTGTATCTCCCTGTGCATATCTGTTTACTGAAATTGTCTCTGGTTCAGCTTTTCTGGGATAAAATTTTAGCCTGCCAGCAGGAGAGATGGTTGTATATGTTTGATGTTACCAGTATTTTTGTCAGTGGATTTTTCATGAGCATCTGAACTGATGTGCTGATGCAGCAGTGTCTGAAGGAGATGATCCAAGTTCCCTAGCCAGGCAGGTCCTCTCCCTGTGCAATGCCTGAGCTGGTCACCTGGGGACCAGCAGAAAGGTGCCTGACTCTTGTGCCTGGTTTGTGAGCTGTTCTGGGTGAGTGAAGAGGAGGAGACATGGGGCAAGGTGAGGCATGGCTTTGACTGGAGTTGGGTAGGCAGCAGGGGCCTCCTGTTTTCCTGAATACCGTGTCCTGCTCAAGGTCACCTCAGTGCTGGTTTTTTTGAGCCTTGAGGCACCCTAGGAGATTCCCTGGAATCTCTGTCCGTGGCAGCAGTACAGCCTTGCACGGTTCTTCTACATCTGGGGTCCTGTCCCTGGACAATATGGTGGGACCCAAGAGCTGGAGCAGGCTGCGGGGCTACCCAAGTGCTCCCACATCTCCTTACTATGGCCTTTGCATGTGTCTGTGGAGAGCTCACAGTGGCTCCCAAACCTCAACACTAATAGTGTTCAGCTTTGTGGCCCCTGGCTGTGTCACTGTCAGGCCATTCCAGTGCCAGTGGCACCGTGCTTGTCCTGGGGTGAGACAGCAGCGGGTTGTGTGGGAAGGCTGAGATGGGTAAGCCTCGCTGCTTTTTGGAGCAGAGAGGTCAGAGCCCAGACATGCCATTGTGGTGCCTGCAGTCATCTTGCTCAGCTGACCTGTTTTGTCCCTGCGTTAACTTTCTACAGTTTAGTAACCTGGGTTATCCATGGAAGGAACTTGTGAATCCCTAACCAGGAGGAGTTTGTCAGCCCAGCACTGCAGGGGGAAAAGAAGTGAGCCCCAGGCTGGAGGAGGAGGAGGTGGGCATAGTCCCTGTAGTGGGTTAGATCAGAACAAGTGGTTACCTCAACCACCCTCATGGTTTGATGCTCTGAAAAGGGCCCTTCTCTTTCTCTGCTTTCAGCTGTGCCCTCTTGCCTCCTCCCAGGGGCCAGCTGTGGTGCTGAGCTAATGGACTGACCAGTTGGTTCTGCTGATTTGGTGTAAAGTTGTGGTTTTTTTCAGCTTGGCCCTTTATTCTCTTTACAAGGGAAGGGTGTTGGACCATCCTTGGAGACAGAAAGCCATTGGATCAGCAGAGCTCTCCCTTTGTAATGGAGCTTTTGGCCATAACAGATACTTTTTCAGGGTTGAATTGTCCCCCGTTTCACTGTCCTGCCGGTATCCTCTCGGCCTGGAAAGTAATTCTTGGTGGGATTCAAAGTACTGTCTGACTTCGACATGCAAGAGGGTGAGGCTTAGAAACGGCAACAAAATTTGTCGCAGCCCCACGGTATTCAGCATTGTTTTTCTTTAGAAAACCAGGCTCGCAGCCTCATCTGACCTGTAAAAATGTATCTGTGTGAAGGTTTCTGCTAATGAGTTCTCTTTTCTCATGTTGTGGTCTCACCACAGTGCTTTTGCTGTCACTGCAGCCCCAAGTAAGGGTATGGTGTGTCTTTCCTGCTGTACTTTCTGAGAAGAGCTCGATTCATAGAGGATTTACGTGGGCAGCTTCTAAAATATTTTGTGTACTGGTTTCTCTGACCATTCCAGCACAGTGGCTCAGAAGCCCCTTCCTGCAGTACTTGATGGTGCAGATACTCCTCCTTAGGGACCTGACAGGCGGCATTCCTGCCCTCCCTCCTCTGGGGTGAAGAGGTGGTTACAGAGAGGTTTCAGTTTACTCTCACGTAGTTACAAGTCACACGAGTGCTGGATGTGTGTGCTGAATTCACACGGGCTTCTCTTTTTTTGAGCTAGACTGTGCATTTTGACTTCAGAAAGCTTAACATTCTGTGAAGTATGTTCCTTAAGGGTGGGGATTAGCATTCCGTAATTTTGATGAGAGTTTCCAGTAGAAGATACTGATCATTTGATATCAGTCCCAAGGGCTAGGGATTGATTTTTGGATGAGCTTGAGTGATAGTTTAACTATCCAGATTTTCCGCTGAAGTGTTGAATCATGACAGGTGATGTAAAAGCCTTGTGCCACTGTCACAACCTCAGATTGCAATGTGGGGACTGTGTGCTGCTGGTCCTGATTGCCTCTTCCCTCTTGGCCCCAGATGGATTCTCTCAAGCTCTTTGAGAAACACATCTCTTTCCGAGCTTGCAGGATTTCCTTGTGTGCGTGGCTTCTTTGGGACTTTTCAATTTCAGCAGAGAGGGACCAAGATCCCTGTCTGTAGTGCTCAGTT